TAAGCTATTTATATTTAATTGAATCATTCATAAATATAAATTCGAACAAAAAATCAAACATTTGAATAAAGAGTTTGAATAAAGCAAACTTACACACATGTGCTCCCCGTGTCAACTTTATATACGATGGAACACTAAATATTGTTGAGAATTTTTAGAAGGGTCTAAAAACATGTTCAATTTTCTGCATAAATGCAAAAAAGACATTTAAAATAGTACAGTAGAAGCAGAGTTCTTCAGGGTAATTCTTAACCCTCTCTCTTCCCCCGCAGTGGAAATTTCGAAAAATCCCTTCTTAGTGTATGTTCTCATGACATATCCTAACTGTATACCAAATTTTAGCTTTCGACCCCTAACCTTTGCTTTGCGATTATTATTATTATAAGATTCATCATACAATATAACAGGTTTAGTCTTGACAAAACTCATTTCCATTATCTCATAATGCTTGTGATATTTCAATGCTAAAACCTTTGCATGATTGTAAAAATGTGTAATTATAAATTTTAATTTTATTTGTTTACACTACTTTTTAAATAAATTATAATAAAATTTTAAATACAATTAAACAAGTTAATTATTAATTAAATTTACTTAATAACTTAATTTAATTAAGTTATTAAGTAAATTAAACAACTTTATTTAAAAAAAACTTTAAATGTTTTTCTTTTTTTTTAAATCCTTAATTTATTCAGTACAATAGAATAAAATATATCAATAAAGCTCTATTTAAATTATTCGTGTAATGTCAGAAAATGAGAATAAAGATAGTTTATATATTTTGAATATTTCTTGTATCTCAATTTCACAAACAATTTTTTTAGGACATATAAAAAGACATATTAGATGATAATGGAAATTTTCAACAGAATCAATTAAAATAAACTTTAATCCTCTCTCAAAAAATTTAAGACAATCATTAATCAAGATTTAAATAATTTACTTTAATCCTGTCATTATGAATTTTACATTTCAATTAAATTCATTACTCATTTTTCTAATTTGTTGTTTAGATCACTCATGTCTTACATATAACATAATTTTTCTAATATCTTATATTTACTATATTCTTTGCCTTATAAGACACTTTTTTGTACCTAAAATTTATCCGAAAATTAGGACAAGCCCTATAAGACTCATCCTAATTTTCATCTTATATTGTGAAGATTATTTTTCCTCAAAACATTTAATGAAAAATACAACATATTCAACATAATGGTGCATCTTATAAGACAAAATGTATATATATATACAGTAATCACTCTTAACAAAAGTCAAATTTAAAGTCAGATATTTTGAAGCAATTACCCTTAATGATATTTACTATTTGAAATTTTAAATATATCTGTAAATGCAAGAAATAATAAATAATTATAATAAAACTGCTTCTTCCTAATCCAAGTAATTTCCATCCATTTATGGCGAGTTAATATAAATGTAATCTCTTCTCATTTTTATAATGTATAATATAAAGTACACTCCAACCGAAGAGTGGCCTAAGTGCCTAAAATACATTTTGAAAGGAATATAGTTTAATAGATAGAAATTATTGGCAATTAATCAATGGCACATTTACGAGACCCAGGCAAATTTTAATTAGAAAGCCCCGTGCAGCACGTCAACTTAAAATATTTTTCTTGGGGAGGTACGATTAAAGGCCTGAGTAACTGTCCTTTTTTGTCCATAGGATAACACACCATGGTGATTAATTTCTGTTCTTACATATAAGTTTACGAAAAGTCCACATTATAGTCAAGTTAGGGTCCCCGGTTCAACTGTAAATGTTACGGTCAGACTTGTATAGTGAAACCATTAATGAGCTTTATCTATGTTTATTTAAGTACAAGATAAGATATATTCCCACCAGAATGAATCCATAAAATTGATTGTAATTAATTACACCTAATTATATAAAAATATAATTAAGTATACAACTGAAATGCTAATTACATTTAGTTTTGTAATTTAAAAACATTAAAGTTTGCATTTTTAATATAAATTTATCGAATTATTATTAATTTTCCCCTATATATAAAAAAAAAATTACATATGTTATTCTTTACCTTGTCCAGTATCGGACGAACTAATATCGGTAGCACGAGTGCCGTAATAGGTGATTCTTCGCCCATTTTCATGCTTAAATATTATTCAGACTTAACTCGGTTTACGATTACCTTTCGAAAAATCAAGTTAAATTAATATTTTACTACTGTAAAAAGCGTCTTTGGCATCAAAGGAAGTTACTGCGTGTCGCTACAGTCGTCCCAAACGATGACGTAGTTCCGTTCTCGTCTGCGACGCCGCACCTTTCCTAATAGCTATAGGTCACCTTAAATATAATTTTATTTAAAAAAAATAAAACAAACTGTACTTATTCTTTTATAAAAATATTATATATATGTAAGGAAATATAATTTTTTACTCGTGTTAATTTATAAATAAAAATATTAGTGACATTTATTAAAAGCGCAATCGCCAATGTTGACCTATTACAAAGGAATCGTCGGCAGTTTTCTTCGTGTATTTTTTTTTCTTTTGAGTTCAATGCTCGTAAGATGCATAATGTTTGTTTATACAAAGTTCCTGTTACCTACAAAATTACAAAATAGATTTATATTATCTCGTTAAATATTTTATGCGAGAAAATCTGCTTAAAAATTTAGAAAATTTGAGTTCAAATTTTTGGGAAGAGGATTATAGAAAATGCGACAGTAAATTATAGTTTTTATCCACGTAAACATTATAAATTACAAGCAATCAATTCTTATTAGTTTAATATATAAAAGTATGCATAGAGTATGCACGCTAATGCTGAAAACGTTTGATTATTATTAGATAAATTTAATCTAAGCAATAAAAAAACGCAAAAGATACTTTTTAAACTTATATAATTAAAATTTTATTTATTTCGGTTTTTTATTTTCATATGGCGTTACTACGTGGTTGCATGCGTGTCGTATCGTTACGGTGCAAAGATAATTTTTTAAAATAATCATTATTTTGTTTTAAATTTTGAAACAATGAGGAGATACTAGCATGTGTAAATAAAATCTTATCACTATATTTGCTTCAACAAATTACTTTTGTACAGCTACACTAGTGTAGTTCTGTGTGGCACTTCTAATCTCATAAGGAAAGCAATTAAAAAACAAACATAAGCTATTTATATTTAATTATCTTATCAGTTTTAGATCTTCTTATATGTCACAATCTTATTACGCCAAAAATTATCAGCAATGGAGTATGAACGAAATTAATCCTCTCGTACTGACATTTTTACTCATAAATCATTTACTTATTGAAGCGTTACTCTGAATTTAGGAATATTCTGAGAGAAAAGGAGGATAAAGACAATTTTATTTTTATTGTTTACTTACAATTAAGTATTGTGGTTGTAAATTGGGATTTTATTATTAGTATTTTTGATAATTGTATAAGCTACAGGCTCAAAAAGATTAATGAATTGATGTGGCAAAGTCAACAAAAAGTCTAGTGTCTGTCCCGGATGCAAATACTGTAGACTATATATATGTATTTATATCCGGGGTATTATTCGAAGAAAATAAACGGGAGTAGAAGCTACTTTTATATTATTTTGTTATATATACACATAAAGTGGCTATATAAAGATAAGATAAATGATACATTATTAACTGTAGTATAATTTGCTTCCTGTTTGAATGACTATGTTAATTTTTCATTGGCTATTAATACGCCACAAACCTATTAATATATTAATTAAGGTGACCATTTTATCATAAATATGATAAAACAGTCACCTTAGTTCTATACAGCCAGTGGCGTAGCGTGGATGTCAGCTGCCCGGGGCGGAAGAAAATTTCGCCGCCCCCTTATTTAGGTATCTCAATTTAAATTAAAAGACTAAAGTTCAGTTTCGTCACAGAATAAGTAATGAAAAATTCCGTGCTCATTTCAATCAGTCCGAATCGTAGAGGCGACAAAAATATGAAATGAAATGGTTCAAATTTTTACAAGATATTATTATTTATTGTAAAATTTTGCTGCCCCCTAAAAGTGCCGCCCGGGACGGGCCGCCCCTGCCGCCCCCACTACGCTACGCTACTGTATACAGCAAACTGATAATTAGTGAATAAAGTTACTTTGTTATTGAAAACAAAATGTATAAAGTATCTAAAACTCCGAAAAGTTAACTTCTACTCAAGAGTTACACGTTAATAAAGAACGTAGTAAAATTGGTAAGTTAGTGTCGTTAATTAATAAAAAAAAGTTAGTTAAAAAATGTATTGTTATTAATGGTATAGCGACTATAGCCTATTATAGCGAAGAAGGAAATTTTTTTTTACCGTTATAATAAAAATATTTATACTGGAAATGTACAGTACATCTACTTTAAAGTTCGAACTTTTATCTGGAAATTTCAGTTATGCGTTTCCAACATGATTTAAAGTCGCTAACTTAAAGACACAAAGTTAATCTTTAGTCACTCTATACGCTAACATATCATAAATTTCAGTGTAATGACATAGTCAATACTTATTTTAGTATCATTCCACATGGCAAAGAATTATTTTTTGTTATACGGAAAAAATTCTCACTTTTAAATTTTTTAATGAAGCAATTTTAATTACACGACTTTTAATGAAATAAATGATTAAAAATGGATTCAGAGCTTTATTTGCATAAAGCTCTGAATCCATTTTTAATCATTTATTTCATTAAAAGTCGTATGTAAGGTATGCAGTTTTATTATGCATACCTTACACTACTTTAGCTTATTTAACTTATAAATATGTAACGTGAGCATTTAAATTATATAATTATGATAACTGTAAAGATTTACTTTCCACTATAACATACCATTAATAACAATACTTTTTTAAACTAATTTACTTTTTTATTAATTAATTATACTAACTTACCAACATTACGACATTCTTCTCCGTTAATGCGTAACTCTTTTCAGTAGAAGTTACTATCGATATTTTGTACTACGTGACCAACGTCCCGATATGGTGGGACATTCGCATTTAAGCTTCATGTCTCACTGTTTCCAAATGTTTCGCGGGGCGTAACGAATGTCCCTCATATAGATAGGAGGCTTTTGATGACCACGATTGACTGACCGTACTGCATTGTATAAGGTGTATTGACGGCCGATTAAACAGTCTGTCACAAGATTGAATTTCTCTCGCATGTGTACACTATAACTATAAATCAACCAACAGTCCAATACAATTCTCCAATATAGCTTGAGTGGTACATCTGAAGCTGCCTTTTGGCGACTTTCTGTTTCTCTAGAACTATCGCAACCACTAAAAGAATCTTTCACATGAATACTATATGGACAAGCGAGAAAAACTTATCGTTGCAACGTTAAAGACGATGTTTCCGGTAAAATGTAACTTGGTACTGGGAATTCATGTGAAAAACTATACGAAGCACTTATACAGGGCTCAATCTTATACGAAAAATTCACTCATCAGTAAAATATTGCGTAAGTTATCAAATGTATTCTATCAGGGAGCGCAATCCCAAGAACATTGTCTGTTGCGCAGCAATTGAATTGAGGTGAATTATGAGACAATTTACGTCTCAATTCAGTTTTTACAGTGTCATGTATATTCTGAAATGTATCCTGCTCCGGTGTTCACTGTAAATAATTGTTGATATAATTCAGAGGCGAATCCTAACCAAAATTTTTGAGCATGCTGAACGTTATAATAAGAATAATATGCCTATCTCTAGCACTAAACAATAGGCAGAAACGTTATTTGGTGTAAATAAGAAAGTATGGACTATTATAAAGCTCATTATATCTACACATGAAATATATGAAATATATTATTTTGAAAAAGTATTAAAAATTTATGATAATAATTCAAATTTTGTTGGCCCTTGACACCGGGGCCCAGGGCTTAAGCCCTATTAATCTCTATGTAAATCCGCCCCTGTACAAAATAAATTATTATTGGCATATTTGTTCTCATAGCCCAGAGAATTCGCCCCTGATATAATCTCGCAAGTAATCAGGTCAATGAATATTTAAAAATTAAACATCTTAAGACTTAATATAAAAATTTAAGCAGATGCTGATCTGAAGAGAAAAAGCATTGATAGTCAACTTATGGCTATTGCATGTCAACATAGAGTAGCGCTTCTACCAGACACCGAGCACGTTTCGTCTCAATTAGCATTACAAATATTGTATTATAAAAATGCGACATCTTTACGAAAATATCTTTTTACATTTTAACTAAAAACTATTAAAAAAACAAAATATTGTGAAAAAATCCAGACAATATTTCCATTTTTGCGCAAAATCATCAGGTGTTTATATTGCGCTAAATTTAAATATGAATTTTTTAAACATAGACTTTCGAAAGAAATTTGACTTTTCTGGCCGAACAACCAATTACGGTCAAGATTGTCGTCACGGCTACAGTTACTTGGGTACAATGTCGTCGTTATGGCCGACTGTTCACGCCGTCTGTTAAGAACTTTATAATTTGTAACGAGTTATAAAAAAAAAGCCCTAGCATTCTCAATCTGGTAAAATTATTGTCTTAAAACAATTAGTTTAAAAAAATTTTTTTAAGTTGTATTGCAAATGGCAATAAAAAATGGCGAAATGTGCAGCTTATTAAACGTAAGTCGCTAGTGGAACATAAAAAACAAATTAAAAATTTCATGTGAAATTTTTTTACATCATTTATAGAGTTTAAAAGAGCTATGTAGTTTTAAAGTAACTACATTTTTAAATTTCCCATAAACTCCAGAGAAAAATATATATACGCTTGGCTTTAAGGAAAACTACTTTCCTGCATTAGGTAAATTCATGCATTCAAAATAGATTTCAGTTACAGATGCTTAATTTTGATTTTTTTATAATTTTTTTTACCCCAATTTTTAATCATGGTTGATTGTATTGTGAACCTGTGTTCTTACAAATAAAGGAATCCCTACTACATGCTTCTCTTATAATAGGGATAAAAATTTTTTCGGTAATATAATTTTACTATATTTGCGACAATTACTGTTTTGTGCACGTTCTTCTGAAACTTCATTTGGAGAATTTGTTTACATTAGGAATAAATTGACAAAAAATATCTGCTAGCTTAGTAATAATGTTGGCATAATTAGTCTTAGTAATTAGTTAATAACAAATCTTAAATTTAACATAATATTTTTGTCAAATATACGATCGATCAATCAGATCGTAAAATTTACGTGAGCCTTTATTTTTTTAGTTGTTTTATTCTTAATAAAGCCCACAAAAAATTCACAGGACTCTTACTTAAATTTTAAATTCTTTCGCTAAATTTATAATAAAACGCTTAAGTGCACATTTACTCATCAATAAATTGCCTGGAAGTATTAATTTGGCACTTGTTTATCTTTTCTGAATTGCAATTGTTCTTCCCCAGCTCGGTTTAGTCCGAGGTCCTAAATTATAATCTAGGACCTTGGGTTTAATCTGCTAGATTTTCCGGGACAGACCGTTATGCTTATCTTGCCTATGTTAAATTATGGTTTTAAATAGCTATTCAAATTACTTTCTTCGCTTTTAACAAGCGATTTTCCAAGTCTTTCTTCTACATTAAGCCTTCGGAAAGAACGGCAAAGAATTTTAGACAAGAACCATTAACAAAACTAATCAGGATTACTTTAAAATTGCGTTGAATTTAGCCAATAATATTTTTCGTAAAAATAAATAGGTAAATTATAAATCAGTCTTATTAAAAGTTAGATAGGTCTACAGGTATACCTCGCCTTACGTCGGTAATTGGTTCCAGGAGAGGCGATGTAAGTCGAATTTACTTGTCTCCGAATCTACTTGTCACTAGGCTAAACCATAAATTTCCATTTCCCGGTTCTGTATTTTATTTATTAATGCATTTTTAATAATATATGGTTAATAAGGATCTATTTTAAGCTTACAAACAAATAAATTTTAGTTTTTAATATAGTACAGAAAAAAGTAATCTAAATTTACGAATGCATGTGCTGTAAATACAGTACATACTTGTAAATGTACAGTATATATTTTAATTAATATGATTTTATGTGCTTTAAACGCTTTTCTAGTGATGTAATATTACGACTTCAATATTTGTGGCGGACAGACGTAAAGTCGAATAGAATGACTTAAACTTGATTTTTATTTTTCCATATACTTTTTTTGACAAACGACATATAATCGGGAACGACGTAAGTCGAGGTATACCTGTATTTGTATTTATACAAATGCTCAAGTAGTTTCAATATCATATAACTGATGTAGCTTTGTTTTGTCAGTTTTATGCATCGTAAGAAGTCATAGAACAATAAAATCGAATGTATAAAAGTTTATGTGTATTAAGTGTGCAAATATCAAATTACAAAATTAAAAATAGCTTTCATTTTTAATTTTACATTTCTAAAATTGTATAAATTAATAAATTAAATGCATGATATTCATATAATAAAAATGAATTTTAAACTAAAACTCATTTTTATTATATGAATTTTTAAAACTCATTTTAAAAAATTCATCAAGGAGTTGCTTAACTTTCCCGACAACATTTAGAACTGCATGTGTGGTGCCATCTATTAAGATAGTTTACTAAAAATATCCCAGGAATTTTTAGGGGGGTAATCGTCTGGTATGGTCGGAACCCGTCTTCACTACCAGGCCGCTCCAGGCCGGGTGGACGAGCGGTTAAGATGGTCCGTCACTCACCACCCGGTCGCCTGATTGTGGGCCTGGCCGAACCCATAATGGATTTGCTTTATGAGGCCCTCTTAGTGCCCACAGGGCGGAAAGAGTTAAAAAAAACAAGCCGCCCCATTGTGCGCTGTTTTATTTTAACTCTTTCTGCCCCGTGGGAACTAAGAGGGCCTGTTTTAGCAAGCCCATTATGGGTTTGGCCAGGCCGGGTGGTGAGAGACAGGGTCGACATATCCGAATGGACCACCCCGAAAAATTCCTGGGGATTTTTCGACCCGTCTGGATTCGATCCCGGGTAGGCTGCATCTTGACCGCTCTGCCATCCGGCCGCTCTTCATTATGGGCTTGGCCAAACCATAATGGACTGGCTAAAAAAACGTCTCTTTCAGTGCTCACAGGGCGGAAACAGTTTAAAAATGTACTATTTGTTATTTCAGACTTTATTGATTGAACATATAACTACAAGGTTTGAAAATATTAATGTTTATTTTCGTATATAATTAAATAATAAAGTCGATATACATAGAAAAAAATTTCTTCAAACAATATATTATACTATTGACGTATTAACATTAATTTAAGAAAGTAAATTAATCTTATTTCTTTTTTAATATTATAAAATAATAAAATAATAACGAAGAATTTTAACTTTCGGCTATTTTTAGGCTAATTTTTAAAATGTGCAGGACAGGAAGTTGACAGCTACAAAAATAAATAAAAAAATGTGAGTTTTGTTTTGTTATTTAATTTATTTTTCTGTTATGGAAGGAAATTCCAGCTTTATTGGACCGATTTTACCTCCGGGTTTTCGTAAAGAAGAAAAGGAAGAGAAAGAATTAGTTGAAAATGATTCTGTCGATGCAGCCGAAGATCAAGAGGAGGAAGACAATCAAATAATTGGACCCGCTCTTCCTTCAAATTGGAAATCTGAGAGTTTTAACAGCGATGTTTACGGTCCCGCGCTTCCTCCGGGATTTAAAAAAGAGGAGGAGGATTCGGAGGATTCTGATGATGGCTACACCATCGGACCTCTTCCGTGTGAAGCTCAAAACAGCGAGGATAACTCGGATGTTATCAAAGATTTCGAACGTCGTGCAAAGAACATGAAAATTCATCTTGAACAGAAAGTAAGAACGATGCTGTAGAAATAAAATGGATGTTGAATATGTTAGGATATTTACAAAATTCTTTAGAAGTTTCGGTTCTGTTTAATTTTTAGTTTCTGCTTATGGTTTCTCTAGTTAAAATATCATTTTTGGATTGGATTTGGACTGTTTCAAATGACTAAATGTTGGGAGGTGATATCACTTGTTATTAATGATATGAGCTAAAATCGATACAAGTTGGTCTCAATTCACGAGAAATGAGGTCCAAAAGAATCGTTTTGTATGACTAATTGATGTTAAATGGTACATTAAAAACCAGTGTTTAAAATTGATTTGATATACACTTGTTGATATAATAATTAGTGCCCCAAGGAAGAGTTGTCGGAATTGAACGAAATTTTACTTGTGTGAGTGTGACGGTGTTATAAGTAAGTGATTACAAAATGAAAGCAAAAGAATCATTTATTGCAGGAAAAACTACAAGTGAAAGGAGGTTCTAGTATCCTGTTGGGCTACCTCTAGAGCAGGTGTCGCCAAACTTTTTTATCGTTGACCCCCTACAACTTTTCAAAACCTTACATTGACCCAACCAAAAAGTTTGTGTTACAAATAAAAAAAAGCTCTTACTATTTTAACATATTTCTTTTAATTTTACATTTTTTACATTTATTGTATATATGTTGATAATAATTTTTGTAATTGACAATCAATGAGACGGATAAGCTTGATGATCCTTAGCAAGATTAGCAATCTTCATTTCAAAATTTGTAAGTTTTAGTCTTTTCATCAACCCTCCCGGTAATGTTATATTGACCACTTTGGCAGCCCCTGCTCTAGAGTGAATACCCAATATGATATATGATACAGGTGGATCACTACTAGAGGCGAATGGCTGTTTTATGTGAGGGCATTCCAGACCATCACATATAACTGGGGCAGTGTGCCACTCCAAATTGTAGGCAGGATTGAGGTGTTCACCATGGGGCCTCCAGACACAAACATGACTGTCATCAGTGCCCAAACTGAAGCTAGATTTGTCACTGTAGATGACCCAGTTCCATTAGTTGTGGTCCAATCCCATCAGGAGTGACACCATGCCAAACAGAAGTGACAGTGGGTGGCTGTCAATGGCAGCACATGTAATAGCTGGCACAATAACAAATGTTTCTCACCAGGCACCTCGAAATGGTACAGACAGATACAGGCCTGTAATAATGGTGCCATCTGTGTCTGGATGGCAGACAATGATATGGTTGGCTGTGTGAATGCTTGTCATATCACTGGGCGGTCTTCTTGGCCAGTGGTCTCCTGAACCTGGGTCTGTGTGTGTGTGTGAACTCTTTCTCATCCAATGATCCCAATACCTCACAGTGTTGTCAGAATGGCTTAAATGGCAGGTTATTTAGTAAGATGATCATTTAGCTTCTCTCAACCTAAAGGACCTTCCCTCTCGAACTTGGTTAGTTGTTCACATGGTCTTTGATTGCAAAGTACGGGTATCTCTAGTGATATAGCATCCTTCTGCAACAGGTAAAATACAGACAAGATGCCTTATTTTTTATATAGGCCTAGGGGATGCACTTTAATGTCCTCTGCTGGCATTACACAATGAGCCATCATACTATAACTCTAATCATTTCCATATCTGCTTCAGACTTATCTGCATGCCAAGTTTTGCAACAATACAACTCCTTCTTGATGCATTAATTTTTATGATGATGAGTGTATTTAAAATGTGAAATAATATAAAATCAAATAATATGCTATGATTTGTAGATAGAACATTTACCAGATGATATCATTCAATGTTGCTTACTAAATTATATTGGTAATTTGAGTTTTCATTCAGAATTGAAAAATGTGAAAACATTACAAGATCAAAATAATGAACACTTCTTTGTAACTTAACAAATTAGACATTTAATATTATTAGAAGTATAATACATACAACAACCTGCATATGATGATGGGCTTGAGTCTGAAAGTGCTCAGGCTTTAAGTCCTTTCAGGCTGATAATCCATCATCAGATGCTTAAACATATTTTACAAAAATTGTTGAGAACACTAAACATATTCAATTCTAATAGTTTTGGAACAGAATAAATAAACATTATCAAATCTAAATACTAAACTAAAATTTGAAAACTATGTTAATTACAACTTAATTTTTAAATAAGAGAATCTTAAAATAAAACTATTGTCTATATTTCTTAACAATCTATTCTTTTTGTTTTCTTCTTTTCTTCTGTATCATTCTGCAGGTATCATTTCCATCATTTAATATTCTCTTGTATAAAGTAAATGATTGCAAAGGACTTGCCATTTGTCACTGTTTCCTACCAATTGTTACCAGTTTGTATCATTCGAAATCTTTTACCATTAAGAAATGATATTATTTTATTTTTATTAGGGTTTGCCATTGATTATAAAATTATTGATTATGTTTAATTAAAATATGCTGGACTTTTAGATTTAAATCATTTTTTAAATATTAATATTTCATTAATATTTAATTAATTTCATTAAATAATAATCAATTATTATTTAATGAAAATAATAAAATTCTGTGATTATTTTAATATATAATAATATTGAGGAGGAAAATATGATTAAGTTTAAAGTGCACAATTTAAAATATATATATTAATAATTGATTTAAATATTTGTGTAGTATTTAAATGAAATACATAAATTAAAATTTTAAAATATTCTAGGATCAGAATGTTACTACATCTCACAGAGAAGAATGGATGACGGTGCTACCTGATAACTTTGGAGTGAAAATTGGATTGGGACCCAGAACATTTAGTCAAAGAGTCCTTTCTGAAAAGGAAAAAGATCGGTCTTGTTGGACAGATACGCCTTCTGATGTAGAAAGAAAAACTAAAGTATAGATATATTTTATAAAGAATTTTATATATTTTGTTATTTCATGTTTTAATTATGTGTAAAGTTTCTTTTTCCCATCTTTCAATTTCTGTCGTTTACACGTGGTCCTTCCTTCTTGACCTTCTCAAAGCTTCTTTCTTTCTTCTTTTGTTCCACACTTGCTCTATTGTTTCAACTGTCACTGGTTTTTATGCACTGAACTGTATTTCTGGTTTTGGGGATTATCTACACCTTTACATCCCCCTGCTCTGTAGATCCAAGAGTGGATTATTGTATAAATGTAACTTGTATATGTGGATGATGTCTGACGGTTTTCCCTTTGTTCCCCATTCTATTTTATATACAATAGTGTGTTGATTATCTGAATGCCGATCAACTGAAACATTGATTAACTGAAAGCATTCCAGTCAGACTGTGTCATGCTGAATCAAACATTTTTGATACTAGATTAACTTCTAAAGTATAAATTTTTTTGTTTTTATATTTTTTCAATATATTTATTTTGTTTGTACAAAATAAAGAAATAATTTTTAACGATACAATAGCCATGATTATTATTACAGTAGAGCGTCGATTATCCGAAAGTCAATCATCCAAAACGTCAATCATCCGAAAGAATTCCAGTCGGCAAATTTAAGTTTTCGCCAGTGCTGTGGCGCTGCAATCTTTGGCTATGTCTTGGACTACTCAAATATTTTACGTTTTCAATACTAAATTAACTTTTGAAGTATAATTTTTTATTGTTTTTATATTTTTCAATATATTTATATTGTTTGTACAAAATAAAAAAATAATTTTTAACGATACAATAGTCTTTGTTAGGCTTAACATCGACGAAAATTCAATGCAAAGCAACACGCAATGGAGAAAAATGTCAAGATGGGATAAATTAATATATTTTTTTGTACATAATCAATTATCCGAAACATCGATATTCCGAACAACCCCAGTCCCCAATTGATTCGGATAATCGACGCTCTACTGTATTATAAAAATTTTCGTTAGGCTTAACATTGACGAAAATTCAATGTGAAGTGACACGTAGTGGAGAAAAATTTAAACATGGGATATATTAATATACTATTATTGATATATACTAATATACTATATTAATAATGTATTTTTTCGTACATAATTGATTATCCAAAAAATCGATTTTTCAAACAATCCCAGTCCCCAATTGATTCAAATAATAGACACTCTACTGTAGTACATTTGATACTTGTCTTATTACTCTATACGGTCCAGACATTAGAAGTTCTAATTTTTTCTGCGTAATTGCAGTTTTATTTTCAACTAGTACTAGGTCCGCTGTACTTAACATTACCTTATGGTGTCTGTTATCAAAATAATTCTTATTCACTTCCTGTTTCCTTTGAGTACTTTTGTAAGCCAGCTTTCTAGCTTCTTTTACTGACGGGAGAGCATTCTTGGGGGAATGGTGGGACGCCAAACATGAGATATTATGGTGAAAAACCCATTACTGAGTGAGGGGAGTTGTTATATTCTTCCATTACTGTTTTGAGTAATTTACTCCAACAACTGACCCTGCTGTTTTCGTTTATCTTGCAGGGTTATGATGGTTTGGTTAACCCTTTCACATAAGCCATTACTTGCCAGATAATTGGAAGATATAAATGTTAATTTTATTTCTTGTTTTCCTAGAAAACATATGAATTCTTATGAGTTGATACTGCATACCTGTCTGCTAATATCATTTTCAGTCTTTGTATTTGTGTGACACTGTTTATTAAGTTCAAGAAGTCCTTGGCAGTTTGAGTTCTGAAGCTTAATGTCCATAAATACCAAGTGGCGAAGTCAATTGCCAGATGCAAATATTGTTTCTTCAAATTGTATCCTTAAATCACTCCCAATTGCTATAACATCAAAAGGATCTGTGGCTGGGAGATGGGACAGCTCTCTGTACTTTCAACAATGGTTTATTTTAAAAATTAATAAAACAAATTAAAATTCTGTTCTTAGAAAAACACCTCAGTTGGTTGAAAAATAATTATGTGGTACATGTAAATTTAAATTATAAAAACTATATACATATGTAATTAAAAGTAAATATAAATTTTAGATTTAAAAATAGACAGAGGCAGAAAAGGGAACTGCTCTGTTTTTCATAATTTACTTCTATGCAACTTCAAAAAAATTATCTTATAATTTTTATATTTAAAGTCAAGTAATTTTATCAACACAGAGTGCATTATTGTTTACTTTTTTTAAATTAAAATATCATTTCTGGACATTGCAATTATTCAGACATTAAATATATAACACTATGCAAAAAGCAAGACAAAAATAGAATTAAATGTGTAAATAGTTTTATTATATATGCAGAATTTTGCAATTTTGTGGATAGCTTTATTTGAATTTTTTATAGTTCTTCATTAAAGATAATATTTGAAGCCATACAATAAAAGTAATTGAAAGTAATTTTAAATTATATTAGCTCAGATGAATTTATAGAATATGACTTATTTTCCAGTATTTTTTCCAGGAAAAAATTTTAAATGGTTACAATGTTACTGCAAATTTACTTAGGAGTATCAGTTAATGACAACAAATCAATACTCATGTTATAATATTCAACAGCATACAAATTCTTCATCAAGTTATGTTTAAAAGATAATAAAAACATTTTTTATTTTATTATTATAACTGGTTAGAGGAAATATTTAGCTTGTTGACTGACTTGCAAAAACAAACTTGAGAAGAACACTGTATTCTAAATATAAATAATTTTTAATTATGTATTGACAATACTGAGTACATTTTGTGAAATAATGAAATTTTTCATATTTAATCATTCATAAAAGTTCTAATATTTTGTATTTAAATAGGAAAGGAAACCAAAAGAACCAACTACAGATTTAAAAGAAATTACTGAACACATTAAGAATGAAAAGATAGCCAAAGAACTGGAAGATTTCAATGTACGTATACATTTTTGTAAAAAAAATATGACTTTGATTAATATATTTGAAATTCATTATTGTTATTTGTTATTTTAATTGTTTTTTATTTTATTATTTTAATTTTAATAACTTTTAATTATTTTATACTTATTATTTATAGTATTAGTTTATAAGATAACGTGTTTATCAGTGATGGGACAATTAATCGGAATTAGGAATCTAAAAACATTGGGCATTTTTTGGAAATCAGAATCCAACATATCTCATTACTGTTTCCAATTTTTAAAATGATTCTTCCATGTTTAACAAGAAAATTAATTATTTGTTTCAGTTGGATATTAAAAATTTTTTAAATGGGTATGCATAGTTTGAATCTCATTACTTCTGGTGCTAGCATCAGCTTGATGTGTACTTAACTTCCAGTAATGAGTAAACAGTGGAAACTCAATGGAAAGTTTTAATCTACTTATAAAACATGGACTTAAAGAATTTAACAGTTGCTGAATTACAAAAGAAATTAAACGAATTAGGGGACAAGACAACAGGGACAAAGGCAGAACTTTTAGAAAGGTACACAAGCTTAAAATAATAAGTATAAATTGATGCTTTTACAATTGTTGGCTTTCGTTTTTGATCTTGTAACAGAATTATGAGGACAACAATTTAGTTTTAATTACTCAACTTTAGTTTGTAATATACTGTACTTTTGAAATTTTAGATACATAATAATAAACACAAAACAATGTTAAAAATCATTGTCATTAATGTGTGATGATTAAAATCATTTTACAAGGGGACCTTACGGTCTTGGAAATTCAGTTCGGGATGAGACTTTGCAAGTTAGTAGTATACCTCAAGGGTGTCCACCCAGAAGAATTGTAAAGTGCACTAGCCAGAAGATTCCAAGAAAAAGGGCTCTAAAGTTTTAATCGCAGCTCATATACTGGTTGATTTTATACTATGGCAGTGCAGCGAAATGGCTGATTCTGTAGCGAGCTTGCTTGCAATGCAGGCAATCTAGGTATGATTCTAGCCTCGGCTAACTTTTTTTTTTTTTTTAAATTATAACAACTNTTTTGTATTTATAAATTTACTCTTGTGAAATGTATGTTTTAGTAACTATATGTAATTTATTAATTTATATATGATTACTGATATAATCACAAAGTATTTGTTAGAGATATCGGTTTTTGACATTATTAATTAATGAGAAAATCATTAATTGATAACCATTTTGATATAATTTGAACATTGCATAATTAAATTTCTTGATAATTCTTTGGAAAATTGCAGAATTTACACATTTAATGTAAATATACTAATATTTCATATAACATATATTTTAATATTTTCACAATATGAACAAATTTGTTATAAAAATAAATTTGCTAAATGTTGATTAATTTTAAAATTAATTTTCAGAAATCTAAACGGCCTGAATCTCTATTAGAAATCCATAGGAAAAATAGGAAAAGAAAAGCTGTAAGTTTTATAATTTATTTTGCATAAAATATAAATTCAAGAAATAAGATTTAAGTTGAGATAGCTGTTGATATTTAAACAAAAACAACCTTCAGAACTTAAAATAATAGAAATAAAAAGACAAACAACAAAAGTAACTAAGTAAAATTTTTAAGATACTCACAAAAGTGGTTGTGTATAAATAAATATTGATCAAATTTAATTTGAAACAAAATTTGAGGAAGTCAAGCATTAAAGATTCATAAACAAATCAGAATCAATGACATTAAGAAAATATTTTGAATACTGTATTTTCTCAAATATTGTTTATTTATGATGAAATTATAATTGATATTTTAATTTTTAACCATTTACTATTATTATTTTAACAATATATGAAATTAATTGAGAGTTACTGTGTAGTTTAGTAAAATATGTGAAAAAATAAAATATTCTCTTTTATACAAATACTAATTAATTTACCTGGAGATGCTTGGGTTATCTTAAAGAAAACGTTTAGCAGGTTTGAAAACTACACTTGATTTTGTTAAACATTGACATACATGTTAGTTGATAACTATATCTGCTTATAATTGCTTTTGTTGCAGCATTAGGAATTTCATTTTTTTTTTATTCACTCTTAATAAAATAAATATTGTTTTATTTACTTATCTTTCCTGTAGACTTGTTTCATTGTTTTTTATCATACTTTACAGAAATATTCACAAAGGTTAAAATATTTTTCTTAATGATGATGAAAGTAATTGTTAGTAGAGTGGTTGGCAAGAAAATAATTTAAAATTATATATTTCAAGAAATATTAATTTTATTTTAAAGAAACATCAAAAATAGATGGAAAATAATATGAATAAGATTTTTTAAGTAAATACTTTCAAAACATTTTACAACTCATTAGGTTTTACATCAGAAGCAATAAACTAAAATGATTTGTTCACTAAAATGAACTTTTGTGGACATTTGAAAAACTTATGGGCCTTCACAAAATTTTCCATAAAATATGATGGAATGGGTTTACAGGAAAATACATAAATAAAAAGAAAGTTAAATTTCCTGAAAATATTGAAGAAAAAGAAATTCAAACATAAATATTTTTACAATACCACAAACAAATAGCACATTTATCTTTTATTTATTAGCTTATAATCTTTGCTAAAAAATTTTAGGTTTGTTAATGAAAATTATTAAATAACTAGCAGACCCTGCCATGTGTTGTGGCTCAAAATATATCTATTATAAATGTATAACACTTCCCTGTGGGGTGGAATTTTTTGAAAAATTCCATCTTAGTGTACATTCTCTTGACGTACCCTATTAAAATGAATCAAAAACGCAAAAAGCGGCATCTAAAATAGTACAGTAGAGCATCGTTTATCCGAATCAATTGGGGACCGAGGTTGTTCGGATAACTTATTTTTCAGATAACCGATTATGTACGAAAAAATATATTAACNTAAAATAATTAAAAAAAAAAGTTAGCCAAAGCTAGGATCAAACCTAGATCGCCCACGTTGCAAGCAAGTTCCCTACAGAATCAGCCATTTCGCTGCACTGCCATAGTGTAAAATTGACCAGTATATGAGCTGCGATTAAAACTTTAGAGCCCTTTTTCTCGGAATCTTCTGGCTAGTGAGCTTTACAATTCTTCTGGGTGGACACCCTTGAGGTATACTACTAACTTGCAAAGTCTCTTACTGAACTGAATTTCCGAGACTGTAAGGTCCCCTTGTTAAACTGTTTTTGAAATTAACTGCATTTTAAAAGTAATATAATTATAAGGGCATTATATTTTTGACAAAAGTCTTATCATTTCATATTTAGTTGGACCTTTTTTCATTTGAATAACATCAAACACTTTATCAGGCATAGTTTGAATTGATTTTTGCAATTGTTTCACTTCAATATTTTCTCAAGAATCCATAATTGGTTAATGTTAATTAGTTGACTTGATGATAATGTTTATTTTTACCATAAACTATTTTTATTATTATACTCCATAAATTTTCTGTTGGACTAAGATCTGGACTTATAGAAAGCCAGTCTAATACTTTTTTTTTTTCTATGTTTTCATTAATAAACCGGATCTTAGTTGATTTTGATGCATGGAGTGGAGCATTGTCTCATTGAAATATCCAATTACTTCCACCAATTAAAAGATCCAAATGCAATTAGATTATTTTTTAGTATATCCTGATATTTTGAAGAATCTATTTTTTCATCAACAATGACAATATCAGATTTCCCATTGAACACAAAAGCATCCCAAACCATTACACTGCCACCTCTTAACTGACTACTCATCTCATTCTAACTTTGGCTTCTCTTTTCACATCATGCCAATAATATCCATAACCATCTGGTCCATTTAAATTCTACTTTTTTCATCAGAAAAAACAACTTTTTCCCACTCCTTGGTCCAGCTCATGACAAATTTAGCCTATTGAAGTCTTTTTTGCTTGTGAACAGGTATCAAATTAGATGTCACTTTCATTTATCAGTATTTTATGTTGTTATCATGAACACATCATCTGATGGGGGACAGATTTTGGTAAATTAGCAGCTACCTGTCTAATAGATAGCTGTTAATTTACTTGTTGTTTTGTAAGGAAGTAAACTGTTTGTTTATCTCTGTCAATTAATTTTTTCTTGTGTCCACTTCTCTTCATTTCCCCTAATTTTTATGTTTTGTTGATACATTGGTCACAGCAATTTTAGAATGATTAATTATTGTAGTTATTTCTTTGAAACTTTCCATCACCTTGTAATTCATACATATTTCAGATTTCAGCCTCAGAAAGTTCACTATTTCTTGGCATTGTGTTATCAGTGTTTAAAACAAGTGTTAACATTTCAAAAGTTTAAAATGTTGGCTGTTATAATACTGGGAATATATTTTTAATGAACAATTGAATGGAAGGTTAATAACTTTCCATTCAATTGTTCATTAAAAGTATATTTACATTTATAGAGTATTATTACTCTAAACTATTCAAAATTAACTGTCCTTATAATTTTGCCTGCTACAGATTCATATCAACTGATTTTATTTCCAGTTTTTATCTTTACTTCTTATTCGTTTTTCTTATTGGATCATGTGGAAATTTAAAATTTCTGAACTGGATGTTTTTTATCATTGGCACCGAGGCAAACAACAACTAACTGCCATTTCAAAAATACTTAAATAACTAAAACAAGCAATTTTTAAACAGTGTATACACTGCATGATACACTATAATAATAGATGTGCCATCTATTATTTTGAAAAATGCACGTCCTATTATGATATTAACAATTAAGTATTAGTTTATTGAAAACTTTCATGTTGACAAAGCAGAGTATGCGAGCCCCCACACAGGTGACGTCTGTCATGACAGACTTTTCTTTCATGTAATCAGAGCTATGAGAGATTGCACTCAGTCAGTACTAATTGTTCCCATTTTAGGGGAGATAGGATGACATTATGGTTGCCACATGGCCTGTATTGGGTTAGCTTGACAAGCAATTTCAAATCAAGCCTGGTGTTTGACAAAAATATTTAAGTGTCAGCAAAACTATTTAAAATATAAACAAAATTACATTTTAATTGAAAAAATATTATATAAAATTATTTTTAATATTTATTAATAGTATGTTTACTTATAATAATAAAATGCTTGAAAAACACTTTTAATACTCTGAAAAAGTAACACTTTAATTTAGTTAAATGAAAGTTTTTAACCTCTTTTTATAATTCTGCATCAAATTTAACAAGAACATTCAAACTGTTTAAGAAGACAGTTCAAATCTTCTTGTTAAACCTGACCTATGAAAAAAGAGTCAAAAATTTTTGTTTAAATAAATTAAATTGTTGCTGAAAAAGTATTTAAGATGTTGTTCAAGCTAAATTAGTTTCATCTTATATGTAAGTGTTTTGTTATGATTCACAGATGATACTGTGAACATATTTTTACTTGGAATTGAGCAAATTGCATTTGTTCAATTCAATTTGCTGAATTCTAAGTAAAAATAATTGTTTGCAATAAGTTTTCTGCTGTTTTGAGTTTTAAGAATTGATTTTTCAAGATGAGACAGTATAGACATTTATGGCTTAAGTGAATGAATTCAAAAATTGGTTAACTCATGATGATGATGATGATTGTTCATTTGTAAAATTTAGTGTTAAATATGATGGAATTAAAGCATGTACAAGACACCAATTGTGAGAAGCATTAAAAAAAAGTGCATTATCTTATTTATCTTTTTCTTCCTCCCCAGTCATTGCATCGGCCAACAAAGCAGTTTCCAAAGATGAACCTAAGTGATATGATGGGATTGTTCTTTGACTAAAAAGGAATTAGCTGTAATTTCTTTCATGGTAGTGTTGCAATGTTAACTTTATCAAAAATAAGATTACAAATTTGTTTTGCAGTACACAATAAAAGTATGCATATTTACATATAAATGGAGAATTTTGGGGTTTTTTTTGAAAGATTGATTCTGGATTTCCCAATCTTTTTCATTCTTAAGCTTGATGTTTATTAATTAATGAATGTATCATGCTCATAATGTAAATCAATTTTTCTAAACAAAAATAAAATTTAGAACTATTCAAAAGAATCAGAATCAGGAGAAATTTTGGCATCACTAGTGTTTATATATAGTGGAACCTCGCTTAATGAATGTTTCTCATAACAAGCAAAACAAATTGTAAAAAATTGCTTTGCTTAACAAGCGATGTTTTGCATAACGAGTGACAAGGAGAGGGGAAATCCCGGATTGTGTACATGCTCCATCAGTCTGTGTTTAGCACTTGTTTTGCTAGCATCTTAGTATTGCTCGTGATCACACATTTTTCCAAACTTATGTTCACACATATTAAGTATAAACATTGACAATCATAGCCCGTTATATAATAAACATGCCATCTTGTACTAAATTTAATGACCAATTCCAAATCAAATTTTAGAAATGTCTAAATTAAAAATTAATTATTTATAATTATTAAATTTAATATGAGATGGCAG